AGCCAAAAAAAAAAAAAAAAATCACGTTGGCATTGTGGACATCCCAGCTCTGGCCAAAACTGTCACCAAAAACTCCATCTATGATGCTTTCTACAGAGAAGTAAAGAGGAGGAAGATGGCCTGGGCTGTTGAGTCTGACCCTCCAGATAATTTTGTCTAGCTGGTTTCATTGCTTTAAAAATTTACCCTGTACGCCCAGAACAAGTAGTTTTCCCCCTGTTTTCATCCAAGTTACATTTCCATAGTTTTAGAATAGATTTAGGGAAAATTTTTTTTTATTTAATTAAATGTTTTGATTTTGATGTGTGCAGTCTCTTTTCTTCCAGTTACATCCTGCTTTTTTTGGAACTACTCTCCCTGAATCATGAGCAGAACCTTTCCACGTAACAGAAACACTATGACACTCTCTCTACGTAGGGGAAAATGGCAAAGGGAAACCACTGCTTTTCTATACCCCTGTATATAGAGAGATATAGGCATATACATATAGGCTATACATATAGGCTGCGGTGGTTTAGGCCCTGCCAGGACCTGAGACCATGTTGCCATTGTCCCTCCCCCGCCCTGGGACCAGACAGGGCAGTGAGTGAGATACAGACCCCGGGGTTGAGATAAGGAAAAATTTAATACAACAGCGTAACAACAACAAAACGAACAATAACAATAAACAATACAGTAGTAACAATGAAGAGAACAAGAGATATACCGCACGGATACAACAGTGAGGGTACTGACCTGGACAAAAGCTGTCCCAATGCTCTTCCTGCGCTTGGGCACCCAGACCTGATGTCAGCATGACAGCTAGAGCTCCCTCCCCACTGCCGAGGAAACTTAACCCTATCCTAGCTGAACCAGGACAACTGTCAATGCTGTAGGTCCAAAATATCCCTGATAAAATTTCCTTCATTAATTCAGTGGAAGATTCCAGAAGGTCAAACTGACATTAGTGGAAATAGATGATTAGTCAAATTAAATGAGAACTGAAGAATTGAGTTTCATGAATGCCTGTTTGAACACTTGATCCCTTAAAAAATATTTTGACATCTGTAAAAAAAAAAAAAAAAAAAAAAAAAATTTGGTAACTGCCAGCTTAAGTTCAACCAGAAACGAAAAATACTCCAAGAGAAGTTTAAGAACAACTGGACCCCATTCTAGCAAAAATCTGGAAAGGCTTAAATACAAATATCTAAAACCATACAAAAACTTGTTATCTCTCAGAAGTCCTATTTGTTATAGTCTTAGAGCTAGCCTATTAGATTTCAAAGTGCTGAACTCATTCTTGAAAGTGAACGTAAACTTCTTCAGACACTGAGATGTTGTAAAAACAATGTTAACATTTCTAGTGGCTAGACATCATCCTTTATAAAACTAAAAGAGATGAATGGGATCAGATCAGATTCAGCTGATGAATTGCTTCTTCAGTGGCCACTATGATCCCTAGACACAAGCAATCAGTATGAATTTTCTGACCCTGGCTATAGTACTCTATTTCCCTCATCCTAAAGTTGACCCCGGTGGCAACATGTAGTCTTAGAAAATGTAATTCCATTGTAATGGCCAGCTTGTACACATACTAGATTTAAAACCAGCATGATAGAAAATTGGTTGGTCTCTCAAAAATCTTGCTGCAGATTCTAGTAATGTCTACATTCATCCAGAGAAAGGAAGTAGAGTTATGGCACAGTCATGGGCTGAAAGTAGTCAAAAAGGAACAGAGGCACAGCTCTACACATTTTGAAGGCAATCATAACTAAAACTTACATGGGATCCAAGTTTCCAATATTTATTTTTTCCAAACCTACATATAGGGATATCATTTACATTTTCAAAAAATATTAACTGTTGATCAAAAGGTAAATTTTCTAAGGTTTCTCTTGTTTTTTTTTTTTGTTTGTTTGTTTAGGGTTTTTTTCCTCAGATTCTTTTTAAAAGGATGGTCAGTTTGTGGTGTACAGAAAATTATTTTTAGTTTCTAACTAAGTTATGATAGAGAAGATATGAACTTTTTAGTAATTATTTAAAAAACAAACATTTGAATCTAAAATAGTTTATAGAGAGAAGACAATTTCATTACGTGAATGCATAAAAAGGCCTAGTATTTAATCAAATATTGCTAAAACTGTTTGTAATTGGAATCTTTCTGTTCCAACTGCTTTCAAATGTCATTCCAGTAGTTATAGTACTAAATTCTTAAGTTTCTTCCTTGTACCTTGCACAGAGCTCTTAGCAAGCCATTTGGATACAGAATTTCCTTCACAGTGACTGTATTTAATTATTGTAGTGTTGCTGGGTAATGCTAGTGTTCTGCAGCCTTATAAAGATTTAAATACTCTTTTTCATGAGACCTCAGAAAACCGTGGTAAGACAGATACTATCATGTCCACTTTACAGAAGACTAAAGCAGAATTAGTTCACTGTTTCATTGAAGTTAACCAGTGAGTACAAATTGAAGCTAAACCTGAACTGTAATCTTAATCCCACACCTTTACTGCCAATCAGTCTTCCAGGAAATACGTAAGAGCAATGCAGCTCGACATTTCTCGCAGTGCTCTTTCATACATTTGAATGCAATCACATACATTTCCTTCAAACATCCTACTTAGGTTGTTGCAATGAATAGGTGAGAGCATTAAACATATCTTGGTGAGATACCTACTCTCAATTAAGTTATATTTGAAAGTGAGTCCAAAAATAGGAATGTGAACAGAAAGGGTGTTGATTTAAATGGAAGTTTTATCCATGGTGTTTACATCAAGAGTGACAGCAAAATTACTGAGTGACTTCAACATTCATACATGTGGATAGCTTCAGGGTAGTCAGTATAACAGAAACAGTGCTTGTGCTAGACAGTTTGTATACAGACAGAGTTCAAGTGATTCCAAAGTCAACAGAACTGCTTTTTTTCTGTGATTAAATTAATTTTAAGCAGAGGAAAGTGTATTTCTGATACATTTTACAAGAGTCTGGAAAGGTGGATAAAACTAAAAATGACTATTATAATCGTAGAATGGTTTGGGTTGGAAGGGACCTTAAAGATCACCTAGTTCCACCCCCCTGCCATGGGCAGGGACACCTTCCACCAGCCCAGGTTGCTCACAGCCCCGTCCAACCTGGCCTTGAACCCTGCCAGGGAGGGGGCAGCCACAGCTTCTCTGGGCAGCCTGTGCCAGGGCCTCACCACCCTCACAGGGAAGACTACTTCTTCACATCTAATCTAAATCTACACTTTTTCAGTTTAAAGCCATTACCTCTTTTTGTATCACTACATGCCCTTGTAAAGAGTCCCTCCCCAGCTTTCCTGTAACCCCTTTAAGTACTGGAAGGCCACTATCCTTCTCCAGGCTGAACCCCCCAACTCTCTCAGCCTGTCCTCACAGGGGGGTGCTCCAGCCCCTGAGCATCCTCGTGGCCTCCTCTGGCCCCACTTGAGCAAGTCCGTGTGCTTCTGCTGTTGGTGTCCCCAGAGCTGGACACAGCACTGCAGGGGGGGCTCACAAGAGCAGAGTATAGGGGGAGAATCCCCTCCCTTGCCCTGCTGGCCACACTGCTCTTGATACAGCCCAGGACACGTTTGGCTTTCTGGGCTGTGAGTGCACATTGCTGACTCACAGACAATTTTCCATACACTGATACCCCCAAGTCCTTCTCCTTGGGGCTGCTCTCAATCCATGGATCACCCAGCCTGGATTTGTGCTTGGGACTGACCTGACCCATTTGCAGGACCTTGCACTTGGCCTTGCTGAACTTCTTGAGGTTTGCATGGCCCCACCTCTCCAGGCTGTACAGGTCCCTCTGGATGACAGCCCCTCCCTCCAAATGCATCAGCTGCACCACACAGCTCGGTGTCATTGGTGAACTTGCTGAGGGTGCCTCGATCCCACTGCCCATGCCAGTGACAAAAACATTAAACAGTGCTGGTCCCAACACTGACCCCTGAGGAACATCACTCATCAATGCTCTCCACTTGGACACCGAGCTGTTGACTGCAACTGTTTCAGTAAGGCCATCCAGCCAACTCCTTATCCATTGAGTGGGGACATGGATTTGGTGGATGAACCGCTTGATGTCCAAGTGGAGAGCAGTGACATCCGGTGGCCTTAGCTGACTTCCTCTTTATTGAGATGCACTGCTCCTGAGCTTGAAGGAGGTGATCCTTGAATATCAACCAGCTTCCTTGGGACCCTTTTCCCTCCAGGGCTTTATCCCATGGTACTTATGGTCAGATCATACTATATCTCAAACAAACCACAGTAAATCAATCACCCGTGAATCTTAAGAGTAAAATTTCACTTATTTTTTCTTAAATTGTGCTGCTAAATCCTCAAAGTAATATAATAAACCTAATTGGGATTGGTTTGCATGACATTTTTCCAATTCACATCTCTGGCTATTTTGTTTTCAAGCCAGCAGCTACAGAATTCTCCAAGATTATTTCTCTTTTTAAGCATTCTTTGATTTACTATATTAATGCCAAAACTTGGATATTTTACTTTTTTAAGATTCATAATTGTAAGCCTAAATAGAAAATTATTTTAAAATAGTTACAAAGGGAGTTATCCATTGTTATCTAATTAGATATTCCTTGCTGAGCAAAGGACTTGGTATAAAGAAGTATCCTAAACTTTTGGTGGTGTTGAGAACCACTCACTCTATTCCCTGATCAAAAAAGGCTTTCTAATCTTGTACCAAGCTTACCTGCACTGCTTTAAAAACATGCAGGTGTCCTGGGTGTAGAGGCCAAGGCTTTGGCAGCAGGGGTGCCCTCTGTAAGGAGAGGCGTGCTCTGCCCCATGCTGGGTACAGCCAGCGCCAGGCAGCTCAATCAGCCCCCCGAGGGACATGGCTGAGCCAGCCCCTGGAGCTCCCAGAGTGCCGGGGCCAGGGCAGTGGCAGGAAGTGGTGGGCAGTCTTCTAAATTTTTGTTTTCCTGGGTACCTAAATCTATTTTAATTAGCAATAAATTAATTTTTCCCAAGTTGACTCTGCTTTGCCTGTCATAGTAAGCAGTCTCTCTGTCTTCATGTTGACCTATGAACTTTTGCATCCTATTTCACCCCCCATCCAGTGAATGAGGGGTAGCAAATGAGCAGTTGGGTAGACGCATGACTGCTGGCCAAGGACAACCCACCACA